CACACACACACACACACACACACACACACACACACACACACACATATATATATATATATATATATATATATATATATATATATATATATATATATATATATATATATATATATATATATATATATATATATATATATATATATATATATATATATATATATATATATATATATATATATATATATATATATATATATATATATATATATATATATATATATATATATATATATATATATATATATATATATATATATATATATATATATATACATACATATATATATATATATATATATATATATATATATATATATATATATATATATATATATATATATATATATGTGTGTGTGTGTGTGTGTGTGTGTGTGTGTGTGTGTGTGTGTGTGTGTGTGTGTGTGTATGTGTGTATGTATTATATATGTATTTTTTTATATATCTACTTGTATATGTTTCTCTGTGTATGTTTATGTATTATATATGTATTTTTTTTTGTTTACATCTACTTGTATATGTTTTTCTGTGTGGAATTCATGTTGAACAGATTGCAACAGGAACGACGAAGGGAAGGGCAAAAAACACACGAATATGCCGAAGGCCTTTTCACTATTGCCCTGACGAAGCAATAGTGAAAAGGCCTTCGGCATATTCGTGTGTTTTCTTGCCCTTCCCTTCGTCGTTCATGTTTGCAACATGTTTCTCTGTGTGTGTATGTATTGGTATTCTTCCGTCCCAGTAGATACTTTTGTCAAAATACTTCCTAAACATCCACTTCACGCAGGGGAGTTTCTCGTGAAAAGCCTCGAAAGGCGAGGGCTTCCCACGACCCAGACGATCGCCCTGCCATCGTCTGCTGAGAAACTGAACGCGGTATTGGGTTAAATCCTGCAAATCCGGTGCATTAGGGAATGGCCCGGCGATCTCTCTGGGGAATCGCGGAGGGTTTTGTGGAGGCCAATTATTTTGTAGTTTCTATTGATATGAAGTCCCTTGAGTACATTTGCTTCTATTGTGTATAAACGATGAGGTAAAGATCACAATATTCATTAACTTATTCATATTTTTTTATAAGTTAAGTCCGAAGTGATAAAAGATAAATCCTCCAAGATAATTTTTCGATGACGCGACAAAAATGCAGGAAAAAAAGTGATTATTGGCGTCAAATTCATATTTGTAAATCTACAAGGAGAAAGAAAAACTAACATTTAACAAATACGGTAATTATTTCTGAGTCGGCCTATATACTTAAGAGCAGTAACGAAACAAATTTATTCGTTAATGAATAAAGTTTAATTGGTCATTTACTTTTCTACGCATTTACTGCATTATCGTTTGTTATTTCATTTTGAGCTGTTTCCGAAAATAGATTAGAAATTCAGTCACTGTATTCTTATATATTTCATAATGCTTTTAGTTTTTATTTAACCTTTTATTTCGAAAATTTCATGCATTCACATTTTGCCTCGAGCGTCCAAGCATAGTCCGGGCACATCCATGAACTAGAAACATTCAACAGTGTAATTTCTTAGACGTGTGTATTTTTTCTGCGTTAATTTCTATTTTGTTAGCGCCCTTTTCTTTATTAAGATCGCCATTTTTCACTTTCTCACGGCTTTTCTTAATTCGCATTTTTATCTCATTTTAGGCGGATTTTCTACTTCCGCCTTTTCTCATTCGCGTTTTTTATTTTCACTTTATTTGCTGTTTTGTTGGCGCAGTTTTCTGTACATTTTATTTCACTACTTTCTTTTTGTGGTTTACTGGATGTTCTACTTTAATTTTTGCCATTTTCACGTTTATTTATTTATTCATTTATATATAATTATTATTATTATTTGGTTCCTCATCGATTGAAGATAGAATTTCACATATACAATTACACGATTCACTGGAACATAAATATATTTGATATAGAAAAGATATGGGTTGTTTTGACGTCCTACAATGAAATGGGGAAGAATGGAATATTTATTGACCTATCATGAGTTGCACACACATAATTACACATACACACATAAAAATACACAATAACGAAAAACTGATTGCAACCGGCGGGCGTCTTGTATTATTTGTGCCCCGGGCTTTCCATGTCTTTCAGCCCCGGGCGAGGTTGCAGCCAGAGGGAGCGCTTTTGGCTCCTTTTTGCAGATTCGAACTCGCGATCGCAGGTTTCGAATCTGGCGCCCTTACCCTCTCGGCCACGGTGTCGCGGGCAATAAGAATGGGTTGGGAGGGATATTTATCCAACATATTTTTGGGAGTGCGCGCGGGCGCACCTGATGTGTGTGTGTTAGTCTGTATGTGCGTCCATTAGGATGTGTGCTTGAATTAGTTTGCTTGTGCGTGTTTTTGTAAATATGCATGAGTGCGAGCGTGCATGCGTCAGTGCGTGTGTGTGTCTTTTTGCGTGTGAGTGCCTGCCTGCGCGTGAGTGCGTGTGTATGTATGTGTGTGTGTGTGTGTGTGTGTGTGTGTGTGTGTGTGTGTGTGTGTGTGT